AAATAGAAGTCTTGCCCAAAGAATCACAAACTTTGGCAAAAGATATTCAAACAGACATTAAGTAATGCAAAAAAGAAAGAAAGAAATTTGAGGAGCACATTATGTTTTCAGCAAAGACCAGCTACATAAAAACTCTTTAAATACATTAAGAGAGGAGACAGGCTAACAAGGTAGTTGGACCTTTGGACAACAAGGAAGCCAAAGGTGTGCTAAAGGAGGAAAAGGAGATTTCAGAGAAGGTGAATTCTTTGATCTGTCTTGACAGTGGAAGATGTAAGTCATATCCTTGGTGCCTGAACTAACTCTCAGGAAGGGGGTCTGAGGAACAAAGGCGAACAGTGGTAATAAGTCACAAGGTTCTATGTCTTATTGACAAATTAAAAAGTGACAAATCACAGGGTTTGGATGCACCAGGCAATTTTAAAAAACACTTGAATGTTAAATTGCTGATTTTCTAACAAAACCATGTAACTTGAAGGGTAAGGACTGTTGCTTAGAGCAACTGCCTAGCATGCAGAAGGTCCCAGGTTCAATTCCAGATAGGGCTGGGAAATTTTTTTGCCTGAAACCCTGGAGAGTCATTGCCAGTTAGAAAAGACAAGGCAGCTTCCTATGTCCGTACGGTTAGCCTCCAAGCCTGAGGAAAGTGGCCAACGTTACACCAATTTTTTAGAAGGGATCAAGTGGAGATCTGAGAAAATACAAGTCAGTTAGCTTAATGTCTGCTCCAGGAAAACTGGTGGAAATCATTGCTAAAGATAGAATTACGAAGCATATGGAAAAACAAGCCTTGCCAAAGCAGAACCAGCGTGGCTGCTGGAAGCCTAATTTCTGTCTCACAACCCATTAGAGTTATTTGAGTGTAAACAAGCATATAGACAGAGATGATCCAATTAATTTTGGTCATAACCATACAATGCATTTAAAGCACACATGGCTTCCCCCAAAGAATCCTGGGAACTGTAGTCTACCTCTCACAGAGCCCCAATGCACAGCACCCTTAGCAAATTACAGTCCCTAGGATTCTTTGGGGAAAGCCATGTGTAATGTGTAGTGTCAATATGACCATTGTGTACTTAGACTTTCAAAAAAGCTGTTGATAAAAGTACCTCACCAAAGACTCCTGAGTAAGCTTAGCAGTCAGATTCTCTTATGGACCAGGAATTGGTTAAAGAATAGGAAGCAGAAGTGCCCTGCCCCCAAGGATCAGTATCAGGAACTGTGCTTTTTAACTTGTTCATAAATGGCCTGGAGTTCAGGGAAAGCAGTGAGGCGGTGCATGACAACCAGTATGCGGACATAACAAACTTGAACAGAAAGGGATTGCTAGGAGTTCCAAAATGAACTCTCCAAACTGGGTGAATGGCATTTAAATAGAAAATAAGATCCAACATAAGGAAGGGTAAAGTGATAGTCAATGGAGCAAAAAAAATATGTAACTTTACATATGCACTGATTAAGCCTCAACTGGCAGTGACTGATGAGGTTCTATGATGTCAACCCTGTGTGTGACAGTTATGAAAGGTAAATTCCATGTTAGGGATAATTAGGAATTAGGATAATTAGGAAAGTGGCAACAAAACTGATAATATCGTAATACCTTTATACAAATTTATAGTGTGACTGCGCTGTGTGCAGTTCTGGATGCTTCACCTTGAAATGGATTTTGCAGAGCTGGAAAGGGTTTAGAAAAGGGCAACAAAATGACCAAGTGGTTGCAGCGCCTCTTCTATAAGGAAAGATTACAATATTTGAACTTTTTAAATATTTTTTTTTAAAAAAAAACAATTAAGGGAGGACATGACAAAGGTGTATAAAACTATACATGGTGTGAAGAAATAAGATAGAGAGGTGTTTCTCCAGAATACTAAAACCTTGGACCATCCAATGAGGCTGGAAGATTCAGGACAGACAAAACAAAGCACATAACACGTACTTGAACTATGGAACTCACTCACACAATAGATTGTGATTGCCACGAACTTGGATGACATTAGAAGGGGTTTAGATAAATTCACTGAGAAAGCTGTTAAGGGCTACTAGTCATGATGGCTACTAGTTCTTCCTCCACTGTCAGAGGCAGAAATCCCCTGAATACCAGTGGCTGGGAATCACAAGTGGGGAGAGTGCTGCTGTGCTCATCTCATCTTTGTGAGCTTCCCATAGGGTGGCCACTGTGAGAACAGGATGCTAGACTAGATGGGCCTTTGGTCTGACCCAGCAGGGTTATTCTTGCATTCTTATGATTCAGGCTGTGATTAGAAGTGGTGCTGAAATAATTATATTCACCACAATGAATTTGCTGTTGTTTGCTGTCAAATGAAGGGACTGCTGCCATCCCTCCTAGCAGAGCCTTGGAGGAAATCCGGGAGACTACTTATGGTTGGCTAGGACAAATGGACAGGCCCTTCTGCATACGGCAGCATTCCGTCACACAGGAGAATGGCACTTAACTGAGCCAAAGAAGGCAGGGAGTAGGGAAGCCTACAAAGGCAAAGGCAAAGGCAAAGGAGGCCTCAGAAGTCGAGCAAAGGGAAGATACATTTGATTCTCCTTAATTTGGGCCAGGATGCGGGTGGCACTGTGGTCTAAACCAGTGTTCCCCAACCTTGGGCCTCCAGCTGTTTTTGGACTACAATTCCCATCATCCTTGACCACTGGTCTTGCTAGCGAGGGATGATGGGAGTTGTAGTCCAAAAACAGCTGGAGGCCCAAGGTTGGGGAACACTGGTCTAAACCACAGGGCCTAGGGCTTGCTGATCAGAAGGTCGGCGGTTCGAATCCCCGCAATGGAGTGAGCTCCCATTGCTCGCTTCCTGCTCCTGCCAACCTAGCAGTTCGAAAGCACGTCAAGTGCAAGTAGATAAATAGGTACCACTCTGGCGGGAAGGTAAATGGCGTTTCCATGTGCTGCTCTGGTTCACCAGAAGCGGCTTAGTCATGCTGGCCACATGACCAGGAAGCTGTCTGCGGACAAACACCGGCTCCCTAGGCCAGTTAAGTGAGATGAGCGCTGCAACCCCAGAGTCATCCATGACTGGACCTAACAGTCAGGGGTCCCTTTACTTTTAATTTCGGCCAAGATGCTAGAGAAAACTTATTGAAAAATTCCTACGATATACCTGATAGCCCTTTACAAATAGGAACAAAAGAATAGCCCTGCTGGATCTGGCCAGTGGCTCATCTAGTCCAGCTAGTGGCCAACCAGATGCCCTAATGGGAAGCACACAAGCAGGATCTGAGCACAAGAGCACTCTCCCCTCCTGCAGCTTCCAACAACTGGTATTCAGAAGCACAAAGCATCCAACAGTGAAGGTAGAACATAGGCATTATAACTAAGAACCATCAATAGTCTTATCCAACATGAATTTGTCTAATCTTCTTTTAAAGCTGTCCAAGTTGGTGGCCATCACTGCCTCTTGTGGGAGCAAATAGTTTAACTTTGAACTGTGTAAAGAGGTACTTTCTTTTGTCTGTCTTGAATCTTCTAACATTTCTGCTTCATTAGATGGCTCTGAATCCAAGCAGTATGAAAAAGATAGAAAAATATATCTCTCATTACTTTCTCTACTTCATGCATAATTTTATACATTTCTCTACTCATCCTTTTGTTCTAAACTAAAAAACTCCACTGCAACCCTTCTTCTTGTATGAGGAGCATTCTAGTTGGCCTTCTCTTTTTCTAGTCAACAATATCCTCCTTGAGGTTAGGGAACCAGTACTATCTATACACAGTACTCCAAGTGTGATCTCAACATAGATTTGTATAACAGCTGGATGATATTAGCAGTTTTACTTTCAATTCCTTTCTGAGTGATGCCTCACATGGCATTTGCACTTTTCACGGCTGCTGCACACTGGATCTGTTTTCTGCCACTCTCTCTCTCTCTTAGGTTCTCATTGAACCTAAGCAAATCTGATTTGAAAACTTTATTTTATTTTAGAAAACAAATGCACCAACAAACAAATTGGAGGATAGGCCAGTTTGAATTGGAAGGGGCTTCTTCCACACTTCTATAGCATTAACCTAACCCACCCTCCTATCATTAATGCCCCTGCACAAAACACACTACAAGGAGCTCAGTCTTCTCTACCACGTTAAATGGGGGCTGAGTATGGGGCCAATACATTGCCTCCAGTGGTGTAGCGTGTTTTGCCAGCCCCAGGGGTGTGCGCATGCGCACCAGGGACAGTTGGACGCAGAGTGTGAACAGAGTCTGCTGCGCCAGTCCAGCCCTCACCACCAATGTGACCCTACCTCCACCAGAGCCAAGAAGGGCAGCGTTGCATCGCCTTCCCCTGGATCATCCCAGCCTTGAAAAGTGGCTTGGGGCTGGCAGGGCGCCCTTCGATCCCAGCCTCACAAAGTGAATCATTCAGATCAGATTCCAGCTTTGCAATGCAGGACGGAGTGAGGAGCCAAATGCACAGTGTCCCTCAGAAAAATGCGCCCAAGGCCATCACCCTGACAGCCCTCCACGCTACGTCTCTGCCTCCTTCCCTTGCCACCCCCACTGCCTGCACATAATCCTTACTTCCTGGAACCTGCCAGGTTATGGCACAGGAGGGTTGGTGCTAATGTAATCCCAAATGAAAAGGAGCAGACAGCAGGCAGTAAGCAGTCTCTATAGATCATAAAACAACTCATGAAGGCCAGCTGGATGCTTTCCTTACAACAGGAGAATGAAATGCAAGTAAGATTTCTACAACACTAGTCGCACACATCCACTTCAAGGCAACTTGGCTGATGTTGGTCCCACCAAGCAAGCAGAAAGTCAGTGCAAACCGTTATTCAGCTAGACAAGTGTCTGAGTGCTGGGCCAAAAATCCAGTCACAATCCCAGTGCTGCCTTCCCAACTGCAGTCATGAACGGAGGCCAACTTGTTCCTCACCTTCTGAAATTGAGAGAGCAACACCCTGGTGTCACTGAAGTAGACACATCTCACTGTAATGGCAGAAAGAAGAGCTACACTTTGCTCATGTGAGAAATACCACTCACCAGCATCAGGGGCGGAGCACTTCTGGATGGTGAAGATCTGGCCCAAGTCCTCCTCTTCTTCGGGAAGGCCCTTCTGTAGGCGCTGCAGCTTACGCAGACTCTCACTCCGTTGGTGCTTCATGGAGCGAACATGCTGAATGAGATTTAGTTTGGCCTTGGTGGAGTAGTTACATAGGACACAGTGGTAGAAGCAGCTTTCCCCATCAACTCCACTCTCATGATGCTGAAGGTGCTGCAGAAAGGAAATGAGAGCAAAAGGTCAGCAATGAGGACCAACTTACACAAACTCCAGGGCAAAACTGAGTGTGTCAAAATCCTGGGGACCTCAAAAGGCCAAGTGGGGGCAGGAGAAGGCAGACTTTCCCACACTCTCTTCATTTCAATCATAAGAAGCATATTTTTAAAATCTGAATTTCAAAGAAAAACTCATCGTTTGTCACCTAAAAGACTAAAAACGACTTGCCTTTAAAGGACCCCCTTTTTATTCAGGAGTTTCTCTTGCTAAAAACATAATTAAAACTCATGCTGAAGTTAAGCATGTGTTAATACACACACACTCCTCTCAAAAAGCTAGGAAGGCATACCAGACCGTTAGCCATGTCAGCCTGTTCAGCAAGTGCAATAGTCTTTTAGCGTGTTAAGGCTAAAAGATTTATTCTGGCATATGTTTTTCCGGACCAGAGTTCACTTTGCATGCCTGATGAAGAAAGCAATTCATATCAGAATGTAAGAGCCCTGTAGCAGAATCAGGCCCATCTAGTCCAGCACTCTGTTCTCATAGTGGGCAACTAGAGGCACCAATGGGAAGCCCACAAGCAGTACCCTGAATACAACAGCATTTTCTCTACCTGCAATTTTCAGCAACTGTTAAAAATGCATGTTGGTTTAGGAACTCTCTGCAGCACCAGTGGAAAACTGGGCTTTAATCAATCCACCTAACAAGCAACCCTATCACTCTTGAAGAAAGAAGTGCCTCTTGCAAGCAAAACAAGCTAAATTCCAAACTCAATCCCCAATCGGGTGGGAAGGGGGTTGCCACAGAAAGATGCATGTAGATTCGTCTGCAGCCTGCCTGCCCCCTGGAACACCTCCCTGACACTTAAAGTGAATGTGTAACACAGCCTCCGAGAAGAATAGGCAATCAAAAACTGTGTCTCTCTGGGTGATTGCCCACACCTCTGAAGGTGCATGACACAGGGAGTTATGGGATCGGTCCAAAGACCCATCTAGTCCAGAACCTTTTTATCACACTAGCCAACCGGATGCCCTAATGGGACACCTGAAAAACAAGAGCACTCTCTCCACTTGCAGTCATCACTGCAGCCTCACTGGAGTCATCATGACCTTTTTTCCTAAACTAAATGTTCCCAAATGATGTAACTTTCCTCAGGGGGCGTCTTCTAGTCAGACGGTCATTTTGGCTGCTCTTTTCTTAACCTTTTTGAGTTCTACAATGTCCTTTTTCAGCTGAGTTGACCAGAACTGTACAAAGTATACTCCTGTATATGTAAAATTGGGGGAGGGGTTTTTTGGGTTTTTTTTGCCTCAATGTGCACTGCTTTGCACTTGCTTACAATGAATCACGTTTGCCATTTAACACACATTTATCCAGTTTGAAGAGCTCCTCACATTCCCTTTTTTTGTTTTTAGTACTCTGAAAAAATGGGTGTCATTAGTCTGCCCTTCCAACACTGAAACAAACACAGAAAGAAACCAAATTGGATCATCTATGGCCAGCTTCACAACAACCCACTCCTCTTCACCCATGGACAGTAATCACAGTTTGCACCTCCCTTCACAAGCCTGCTGAATTCAATTCATTACGGAAAAAGGTATGTGAGAATTAAATGCTAGTTGAGCCCCTAGTGCAGACTGCCCCTCAATGGAGTTGAGCTAGACCAAAAAAAGAAACTTATAATTCTCAGGGATAATAGGCAGAACCACAAAGAAACATTGAAAGCTGTCTTAAATCAAGAGAGATGACTGGTCCACATAGCTCAGCATTGTCTACACTGATGAGCTGTGATTCTCCAGATTTTCAGATAGGGGTCTCTCCCAGCCCTACCTGGGGATGCCAGGGATTAAACCTGGGACCTTCTACATGCATAGCATGTGCTCTACTCAAAGCTCATCCATACAGAATATGAAAAGGAAGAGCTAAACAAGAAGTCTCACTAGGAAGTAATTTCTTCTAAAGAATATAGGCTTTTACTAGCTACTAAGAAAAGCCAACCAACTTCTGCCAGGGTACATTGATCAATTCCATAATATGGAGGGGCACAACAGCTTCCCCCTCCCCTTTACCAACAACAGGAAGCTTCTAACATCAGGTTCTTCACGCATGGAATGCAAAATATTGATCATGGTTAGTCAAAGCTTCACTTTTAAAGCAGAAACACACTGAAGTACATTTGATAAAAACCCTCACAAGTGAAGTTTCCCAAAGGATTAGAACTTGCTGGAAAATGAGGGCATTCCTCAGTCCAGTGAGGACCATTTGTTAGAAAAGAGATAGTCAACACTGTGCCCTCCTGATGTTGTGGACTACAACACACACCAGCCGCAGACAGAATGACAGGAGTTACAGTCCACAAGAGCTGGAGGGTATTACTCTGACTACAAATAAGCTGAGCATAGATCCTGGAAAGACAGAGGCCCCGTGGGTGTGTGGTTCCCCTGCCTAAGAAATTGGCCAACTGCCTGCCCTGGACAGGGCTGCACTTTCTGAAGGAGCAGGTATCCAGTCCAGGGGTACTTCTGGATCCAGCTCTGTCAGTGGAGGTGCAAGTAGCCTCAGTGACTAGAAGCACCTTTTACAACCTTTGACTGGTGTGACAGCTACAACTGCTCCTGGACCAGAAGCCTTGACCACAGTAGTTGAGACACTGCTGAATGTAATATTGGGTTACTGCAACACACTCTGTGTGGGGCATCCCTTGTACTTTATGCAGAAACTGCAGTTAGTTTTAGCAGCTCGGTTGCTGACAGCAGTGAGACCCTGTCTGTATGCAACCCTATGCTCAGAGATCTGCACTGGTTTTAATTTTACTTAATAAAATTTATATATCTCTTGATTGGTAAGGAAACCTCTAAGCAGTTTACAAAAATACAAAATGAAACATTAAAATATGTTTTAAGCAGGTTGTCTATCTGCTACAGGGCCAAGATAATCAAGGTGTTACTATTAGTATGCCCTTAACAGTTAAAGACCAGTTTACTTGCAGGATCGCCTTACCCCATATAGGCCCACTCAGTTGCTTCAGTCTATGGAACTGGCACTGTTATGAGTTCCACATAATACTTGTAGGGAATTGATCTTTTAGTGTGGTAGCATTCACACTTTGAAACTTCCTGCCTGTTAATATCAGGCAGGACCTTTGCTAGCTTAAAACATTTTTCTTTAGGCAAACCTATCCAGAAACTGGATGTGTTTTATTTCATTTTAGCTTTGCTGATTTTAAACTTTAGAATACTTTTAAACACCTGTTTTATAATTATTTTTATTGAGAATTTTAATGTCTTATTTTATATTTTTGTATGCCACTTAAGGGGGATGTGAGTGGTGTTGTGGTCTAAACCACGGAGCTTCTTGGGCTTGCCAATTGGAAGGTCGGTGGTTCAAATCTCCATGATGGCGTGAACTCTTGTTGCTCAGTTCCAGCCCCTGCCAACCTAGCAGTTCAAAAGCACGTCAAAGTGCAAGTAGATAAATAGGTACCGCTCTGGCGGGAAGGTAAATGGCATTTCTGTGTGCTGCTCTGGTTTCGCCAGAAGCGTGTTAGTCATGCTGGCCACATGACCTGGAAAAACTGTCCGCAGACAAACGTCGGCTCCCTCGGCCAGTAAAGTGAGATGAGCGCCCCAATCCCAGAGTCATATGCGCCTGGACTTAACTTTCAGGGGTCCTTTACCTTTTTTTATGCCACTTAAGAGGTTTTCATACAACCAAGTGGCATATAAATCCTCACCACACAGAACTTCAGCAATCTGCAACCAGGGTGGTACCCAACAGGCTTATTTGGACTGCTGCTGCCCAGAAAGGACCACCCTGCTGAGAGACTGAGGGCCCACTCCTGCCTCTCTCCACCTGACCCAGGCTTCAAAAGGACCGATGCTGTTAAATTGCTTTTAAGATGTTTTAAAAAAATATTTTTGTAATTGCTTTTTAGTGTTTTAACTGTTTTTAACCCACATCCTATGCCCTTTTAAAATGTGTTGGGGGTGGTTATTGGGTTGTTGTTGTTTTTAATTTGATTATGTACTTTGTAGTTTTACATTCTGATTTTATCCTGTGAGCCGTCCTGAGACCTGTAGGTATAGGGCGGTATATAAATTCAATATTATTATTATTATTATTATTTGGATTTCTTGCCTACCCTTCACCCTTCCCAGGGCAGGTTACAACATTTATAACTGTATAATTTTAAAGCCAAATAAAATATTTCTAAAATGAAAATAGATAAAATAAATATACACCAGACAAGAAAGCAGGTCCCACAGAAATCTTAACTGCCAAAGGTCAGGGGAAAGAGGTGTGTTTTCCAGATAAGAAGATATAGCAAAGGTGACAGACGCACCTCTGTGAGGAGGGAGTTTCATGGTTTAGGGGCTACCGTGAAGTATGTCCACCCCAGGCTGCCAGCCTCTGAACTTCTGACGTCAACGAAACTACCAAGAGGGCCTCTTCTGTCTATCTGAGAGATTTGTAGGGAAGGAGGTGGCCTTTCAGATATCTGGGGTTTAGGGCTTTGAGCACCTTAAATTAGGGCCAGAAAACAAACAGCAACCAGTGCAGTTGTCTTAAAATAGGGGTTATATGAGCTCTAAATAGAACCTTGACTAGTAAAGCTGGCTGTTGCATTTTGGACCAGTTGAAATTTCCAAATAGTTTTCAAGGGAAACACTATGTAGATCACATTACAATCATCTAAGTTAGACATCACCAGACCAAGGGTACAGTGGCCAAGTCATCTCTGTCTGGAAGGGGCTGTTGCTGGAAACTGGCACTCCTATCCACTGAGACTATTTGAGCCTCCAGTAACAGTGCTGGATTCAGGGGAACTCCCAAGCTATAGACCTACTTCATCTCCCCAGCTCCTGTATACCAGAACTCAGAATACATTTTCTTTATGAGATCCTCTTTACTGGCCCACATCTAGTCCATGACCACCTCCAAGCATCAATCTAGCACCAGATTGCCTCTCCCAGTTCAAATGAGAGAGAGGGGGGGGG